AAATAATTAAAAAAATAATTTTTAAATGGAAAAAAATAATAAAATACTTTAAACCTCATATCAGTATCCCAAGATGGACTTGGGGGTTCGCTGGATCTCTTTGTCCTTTTTCCTAACGGTGACCACAGTGAATAAATTTCCTTCTTCTGTTTTTCATCATTATTCATCTTTAATTGGCCTATTGGGGACAGACAGCCAGTGCCTAGCCTGTTAGGGCTGAGTCCAGGCTTTTAGCCTAACACTCCAGTAACACGGTGAGTGCATTGGGGTGGTGGTGGGGGACTGCTATGAGAAGGAGTGTGTGCCAGGGGATGCAAGAGGGTATGGGACCCAGTCTAGCAGATGGTACAGCACAATCACAAAATCACGGCCATCCTCCTGCCCCAGCTAGAATGTCAGGGAAAGCGATTTTACCCTCTAGTTTTCTCCACACCTTGAATGAATGAGATTCCTTAGCTTGGGAAGGAGTGGCTCTTCACACACAGTAAACACATAGGCCTGTGGGGAGCAGCCACAACTCCTGGATCTCTCAAAGAGTGGGGGGGGGGGGCGGTGGGAGGGATAGGAGGGCAAGAGAGGGAAAGGAAGGGAAGGAGGGAAGGAGGGAGGGATAGAGGGACAGGGATCGTACTATGTTTTACTCTTTTCAAATTGTTTCTGTGATCCGGCGTGGTGGCGCCTGCCTTTAATCCGAGCAGAGGCAGGCAGATGTCTGTGAAACCAAGGCCAGTCTGGTCTACTAGCCAGGCTGCTGGGAAACCGAAGCTGTCGTCAAGATTAAAGTTTCTGTGTATTCTACCTAGTAACGGGTGACGGCGGTCCGGAACGCCATTGGCTGATGACTCACAGCCGGCCAATCCCGGCTCTAAGCAGCTCAAGGGAACTTGTGGGACTTGCAACGCGAGGGTCCGAGATCCTGGCCGCCAGCCCCCGCGCCCGAGACTAAAGAGAAGCGGAAAGAAGTTCGGTCCGCTCTTCCGTAGTAGTTTGTTCTCTGGTGGTGACTGTGCCCAGGGCCGCGCTGGAGAGAAGATGAAAGGCAAGAAAATTGTCATTTGAGGGTCAGAGAAGGAAAGGAAACGCAGAAGTTAATTCTAGAAGGTAGGGAAGGGAGGGTAAGCGCCCTGGGTCCGGGTGGGGGTGGTAGGAGGGTCTGCTGCGTGGGAAAAGCGGGGCCCTGGGAGGGCGGCCTCACCTGGCTTTACCTGGGGTTCACCTGGAGGAGGGAGGAGGGAGGAGGGAGGAGGGAGGAGGGAGGAGGGAGGAGGGAGGAGGGAGGAGGGAGGAGGGAGGAGGGAGGAGGGAGGAGGGAGGAGGGAGGAGGGAGGAGGGAGGAGGGAGGAGGGAGGAGGGAGGAGGGAGGAGGGAGGAGGGAGGAGGGAGGAGGGAGGAGGGAGGAGGGAGGAGGGAGGAGGGAGGAGGGAGGAGGGAGGAGGGAGGAGGGAGGAGGGAGGAGGGAGGAGGGAGGAGGGAGGAGGGAGGAGGGAGGAGGGAGGAGGGAGGAGGGAGGAGGGAGGAGGGAGGAGGGAGGAGGGAGGAGGGAGGAGGGAGGAGGGAGGAGGGAGGAGGGAGGAGGGAGGAGGGAGGAGGGAGGAGGGAGGAGGGAGGAGGGAGGAGGGAGGAGGGAGGAGGGAGGAGGGAGGAGGGAGGAGGGAGGAGGGAGGAGGGAGGAGGGAGGAGGGAGGAGGGAGGAGGGAGGAGGGAGGAGGGAGGAGGGAGGAGGGAGGAGGGAGGAGGGAGGAGGGAGGAGGGAGGAGGGAGGAGGGAGGAGGGAGGAGGGAGGAGGGAGGAGGGAGGAGGGAGGAGGGAGGAGGGAGGAGGGAGGAGGGAGGAGGGAGGAGGGAGGAGGGAGGAGGGAGGAGGGAGGAGGGAGGAGGGAGGAGGGAGGAGGGAGGAGGGAGGAGGGAGGAGGGAGGAGGGAGGAGGGAGGAGGGAGGAGGGAGGAGGGAGGAGGGAGGAGGGAGGAGGGAGGAGGGAGGAGGGAGGAGGGAGGAGGGAGGAGGGAGGAGGGAGGAGGGAGGAGGGAGGAGGGAGGAGGGAGGAGGGAGGAGGGAGGAGGGAGGAGGGAGGAGGGAGGAGGGAGGAGGGAGGAGGGAGGAGGGAGGAGGGAGGAGGGAGGAGGGAGGAGGGAGGAGGGAGGAGGGAGGAGGGAGGAGGGAGGAGGGAGGAGGGAGGAGGGAGGAGGGAGGAGGGAGGAGGGAGGAGGGAGGAGGGAGGAGGGAGGAGGGAGGAGGGAGGAGGGAGGAGGGAGGAGGGAGGAGGGAGGAGGGAGGAGGGAGGAGGGAGGAGGGAGGAGGGAGGAGGGAGGAGGGAGGAGGGAGGAGGGAGGAGGGGGGGGGGGGGGGAGGGGGAGGGGAGGGGCGGGGGGTGGGGGGGAGAGGATGAAGAGGAGAGAGGGGAGGAGGGGGGAGGAGGAGAGGAAGGGCAGGGGGTTGGGGGGAGAGGATGAAGAGGAGAGAGAGGAGGAGGGGGAGGAGGGGGGAGGAGGAGGAATATCAAGTGACCACTGTAGAAACTGGACTCTGGAAAGAGAAGTGAAGCCCAAGACTGCAGAAAACTGCCCGCCCCAAGTTTGTTTGTTTCATGGACCGTGTGGTGGGCCCATCCGTTAGGGTATCCCTGAACTACAGGATAAAGGGGTTCACCTAAGGGCGCTTATGAGACCCGTTTAGCCTCACGAAAGTGACCTACATGAGAGCCCTGGCGTCCGGATGCTGGGCTGACGTCTCCACTGCTCTGCTAGGTGTCCTGTCCCTGCCTGTCCTGGGTGAATCTGCCCTGGAGACCCATGGAGCCCGCCGCCTCCTGGCACTGCCGCTCGCCAGCCTCCCTTTTCTTCCTGGTCTTCAGCCGGTCAGTGCTGGTCTCAGGTAAGGCTGTAGGCGCCTGTTAGCTCCTCAGAAAGCAATGCCCACACTCGGTCTGCAGACAGAGCCCGGGGGGGGGGCTGCAGCTTCGCGGGCAGGTCTTTCGGTTGAGTGGGCGCTCCGGACCTATCCCAGAGCTGCCCTGCGGGAAAGCAGCAAAAGCCTCCAAGGACAGCTGCGCATACTCTTGTAAATGTAAAGGTAGCAACGTTCAAGAGTTGAAAGCAGATGGAAGATTTTAATATATTTTGTTTAACCCCAAATCATCAAATATTAATATTTAAATGCTTACCTTGCCAGGGTTGGTGGCTAAATCTCAGAACTTGGAGCTGGGTGTGGTGGCACAGGCCTTAGGTCCCAGCACCTGGGAGGCAGAGGCAGGGGGATCTCTGTGAGATGAGTCCAGCCTGGTCCACATAACTAGTGCCAGGCCAGTTGGGGCTACAGGGAAACCCTGTCTCAGAAGAGTCAGGTCAGCTAAGGCTAAGTAGCAAAACCCTGTCATAAAGAAAACAATGCGGACTCGGGATGCACAGTGCTTGCCTAGCATACAGGAGGGGATGGGTTGGAGTCCTGGCTTTGTATCAGGCACTGTGCTAAGTTGCTGACTAGAGGAATGTCTTTCTCAGTACTGGATCTATAGAGCTCAGGGTGATCTTGGTGTTTTGTTCCTTTGGGTTTTGGTTTGTTTGATTTTGTTTTTGTCTGAGGCTGGCCTTGAACTTGCTATGTAGCTGAGGATGACCTTCACTCCTGATCCTCCTGCCTCCATCTCCTCCTGAGTGCTGGGATCTCAGGCATGGGCCACTAGCCAGGCTCAGTGTTTTTTCCTGAAACGTGTAGCCTCATTAGAGACTCCTCGGGGTGAGGGGCGGGCACTCATCAGCCACAGCTCCAAATCCCCCCAGGAACCCCTGTGACTTTGGAAAGAATTCCTGTAAAACAGGCCCCACATTACAGGATCCAGAGGTGACTGCTTTCATTTCTGTTGCTGTGACAAATACCCCGAGGTACAGCAGCTTGGGAAGGAAAGGGTTTATTTGGCTCACAAATCCAGGCCACAGTCCACCCTCAACCCCCCCAAAAACAACCTTCACGTTCTTATGCAAATTTACAATTTTGTGTTGAGTCTCTATCCCGGCGCTCCTGAAGCTCACGTCACTCCCTTGGATGTTTAATGACGGGCATCTGATTGTCTTCCGTTGTTGAACAGTCCAGTTTACTGTCGTGGGACCGGCTGAGCCCACCCTGGCCATGGTGGGAGAAAACACCACCCTGCGCTGCTACCTCTCACCCGAGAAAAACGCCGAGGACATGGAGGTGAGGTGGATCCGGGGGCAGTTCTCCCCAGCGCTGCTAGTGTACAAAGGCAGGCGGGAGAGGGCAGAGGAGCAGATGGTGGCCTATCAAGGAAGAATCACCTTTGTGAGCACGGACATCAGCAAGGGAAGCGTGGCGCTTGTGATCCATAACGTCTCGGCCCAGGACAATGGCTTCTACCGCTGCTTCTTCCAGGAAGGCAGGTCCTATGATCAGGCCATCCTGAGGCTCACGGTGGCAGGTGCCTCTCGCCATTTTGTTCTGTTACCTTTTCCCAGTGTGACTTTTGGGGAGATATCCTCTCCTAGCCCCAGGCCCCTCACACAGGGAGGGTGGCGCTTCGAGTGGGTGGTGCAGCTGAGCGATGGGCATGGCACATCGCAGTCTGGGTTTGAGCACAGGAGTATGCTCAATCATCCTTAATTCCTAAGGATGATTCTTCTGCTTGCCTTATCATTGAAACTGGTCACTGTGGTTAGTAATTGTGCCAGGGCACCTGAGATTAAATAACCACAGCATATAGACATCATTTGCTGATTAGTAGCAGCCTTGTAGCTCAGGCTGGCCTTGAACTCATGATGTTGTTGAGGATGACCTTGAACTCCTGATCGTCCTGCCTCCACCTCCCATGTGCTGGAATTATATCAGCACCATCTCCATCATCATCACCTCCAGCTAATCGTGCCTCCCCCTCCCCCAGTCCTGATTATAGAGAAAGAAATTGACATGTAAACAGATGTCATTAAAGCATTAAATATGGAAACAAAATTATGTACTGAACCTAGTAGAGGCACTGAGGAAGAGTCCTGCCTGGAGCAACTTGGCAAAGCTTCAGGTGTGTTAACAGTAGCTCTAAGGAATGACTTCACTCCCTGTGGTTGTACATTACACACTGAGAGCAAAGTGATCCTCAAAGAGCCTTTGAAACAGAAGAATCGCTGCTGGCTTTTCAGTCTGTCTGTCTAGTGGAAGAAGTGAGGTTTTGGGGAGAGTGGGACATTCCTGGGGGGCCTCAAACTGTAACTGGGAGGAGGCATTTTTATTAGGCATAAGGGGACCGTGTTTCCTTTTTTCCTTTTTGGGGGGAGGCAGTGGTTTAAGACAAGATCTCTTGCTCTGACTGGCCTGGTACTGGGCTGTGTAGTCCAGGCTGGTCGCAAATACTTTGTGATCCTCCTGCCTCAGCCTTCTGAGCTCTCCATTCCACTAGACCAGCTGGCTATCTAGCCCTGGGATCTGCCTGTCTCTACACAGCCCCTCCCAGCCAGCCCCTTGGGTCCAGAGGTTACAGGCATGTCATCATGCCTAGTTTTACATGGGTGCCAGGATGCAAACTCAGGTCCTCATAGTTATGGAAAAAGTGCTTTTTACCAACTGAGCCATCTCCCCAGCACCCACTTTTGTGTGTGTGTGTGTGTGTGTGTGTGTGTGAGAGAGAGAGAGAGAGCTCTACACTCTGCATTGGGTCAGGAGGATGGGAGAGGCTGTGGAGAATAGAGACTCTCGTTGATTTAGATTACAGGTTTTTCAGAGCTGTAACTAGCCAGCTCCTTGATTTTTTTTTTTTTTTTTAATTCGCTTTTTGTTTCTTGGATTGCTTGTCTGGGTGATTTTGTCCTTAAGTCTAGAGCCTCCTGTTTTTTGATCACCGTGGAATGTTTTATACAGTTGTTTTTCCCAGTTTGCTAAGTTCTTTTGAGTCTTATTCCACATCAAGATTTCTGAGCGAGGCTTGACATCTACAGCTAATTAGTCTTTTCCTCCCCTTGGCAAAACATCAATTTGAAGATTCAGGCATGATGGCACACACTTATAGTCCTAGCACTTGGGTCTTGGAGACCAGAGGGTTAGAGTTCAGTGTCATCCCTAACTACATATCTAGTTCAAGACTAGCCTGGGCTACATAAGATCCTGCCTCACAAACAAACAAACAGAATGAACACCCCGGTGCAGTAGTATATGCCTGAAATCACAGCACCCAGAAGCGAGGCTGAGGCAGGAGGATTGCTGTGAGTTTGAGGCCAGTCTGAATCACACAGTGAGGTCCTTTCTCAAGCAAACAACAAAGAAATCAAATACAGTAGGAAGCACTGGACTTCGGTGAGTGCTTTTATTTTTCATTTTTGGTATAATATGTTATGTGAGCTTGACAAAGAAACTGTTTGAGCCAATAGGGTGGTACACACCATTAATCCCCACACTTAGGAGGCAGAGGCAGACAGATCTCTGTGAGACTGAGGCAGCCTGGTCTATATAGCAAGTTCCAGGCCAGCCGGGGCTATAGGAAGACCCTGCCTTAAAACTGTAAGGGTCTACTCCACTGGAGCATTTTACCACCCCACTAAACCAGTAGTGCTCACAACTGGTGCACAGCTGTGTGTGATTGCCTTCACTGTGTGTGGCCAGAAGAGGGAAAAGTGATGAGAGGCCCTAAGCCAGAGTGGGCAGTGTCTTGAGATCTGAAAATGTCATACAATTGTGACAGCCTGACAAGTTTACATTCTTTTTTTTTTTTTTTTTTTTTTTTTGGTTTTTTTAAAAAAGGTCTCCC